AAAACTGCCTTCAGAGCCATGGAAAGGGCAGGAAATACATAATGCTGACATTAGCCTTATCCCTGAAGAAAAGGTGTTTGGGACCACAAATTATAAACTGAGTCTAGGGACATCCGAGCTTGTCCTTGTCCTGCCCTTCATGCCAGACTGGAGCATGGGACCTCCTCACTCTTTTCTGGTCACAGCTCGAAGCCCTGGGCTAGGGACTGCTGTGGCACTCACAGGGCAAGATAAGACCTGCTGAAGATGATAAGGCACCTGGGGAGCCTACCACTTCCTTATTGCTTTCCCAGCTTGTCCTTGTCCTTGCAAGAATGCTTTGTTCTTACTAGCGCACTGTAGTCACCATTACTGTTCCCAGAAACACCCACTCACCCATTGTCCTTGACTCAGATGTAATGAATAAATACCTAGGTTCTGGGTTGCCGTGGTCATCCCACATCCCTGTTGCACCTCTGTTTTGTTTCTTGTTCTTTCTTCCCGACCTGCACCATAACACCTGGAGGAGACTGGGGACTCACTGCAGGGGTCCCTGATAACTGGCACCATGGGAAGGGTCTCTAATAAAAAAGTATTGGCTTATAACTGGCATGTAGGTGGGGCTGGCAACAAAATAATGAAGCAGAAGGTAAGAAGTGTAATGTAATTATAAGTTGGAGAATAAATAGATGAAAAACAATAACCTCATGGCTCATGGCAGACATTAATCATTTATTGAATGATTCCTGTATGGTAAAATTGAGGAAGATATGAGATACATATTTTTGAAGCACCATCCAGTAATAGATATTACTAGTACTTGCCAACATTTATGAATCTCTTTCCTTCCCCAAACCCACCTCATTAAAATTTGTTCTGGCCATGTGACTTGCTTTGGGCAATAAAATATGAGTGAAAGAAAACTGTCATTCCATATGAAAGTATTTAAGAGGCCATATGCAATTCCTGCATATTCTTTTCTCATGTTCCAGAAATTATGGAAACACAGGATGTTTTTGTCCTTGTGGTACTGAGGATTAAACCCAGGGCCTTTGGGCATGCTAAGCATGCACCCTTCCATTGAGTCGCACCTTTATTTCTGGAAGTAGAGGATAAAAGGTCAGACAAGACCCCCCAAAAAGCCAATGATCCTCAACTATGACATAGTACCAAAACACATTTGTTACAGTAAACCATAATATGTTTAGTACTATTTGTTACTTCATCATAACCTAGTCTGTGCTGACAAATACACATTATAAAATATTGTACAATGAAAAAATATATGCAACTGAGGGCAAAGGAGCTGGGGATTTTATTCCAGGTTAACCATTAAGAAGCATTTCACTCAGAATACACTACATAGCTTCTCTAAGCCTCAGTATTATCTTTTTAAAATAAAATAAATAGGACTTGCTTGAGAAATAGGTTTGTTTGAGAAAGTATCCAGCTAAAGTAGGCTCTTGAAAAGTGCTTATTATTATACCTCAGAAGTTAGAGAACGTACTTGAAATAGCTTAAAATAAAATAGTCTTTGTAGGAGCCAGTACACATATGGTAGTGTTCCCTAAGCAGGTGCTGAAGCTCTTTAAGTGCAGGAAAATAGCGACTATACTTTGAAGGTGAGAGGGATTGAATATTCTCTGGCTCAAGGTATTAGTGGTGAGGGGCTAGGGAATCTTCAAGGGGTAATTCTGTATTCTACAACTGCTTTTTTCTCTCTTGGTGGTAGTTCTGAATATTCTGCAAGACCACTGGTTCCAGACAAGCAGTAGCAGTCTTCACCACAGCCCTCAGACACAGGAATTTGGAACCCACTCCAAGGGGTTCCAAAACAACCCAAAAGTTCTCTTTTTATTTTTCTTGATTGTATCCTGATGCATTTCTAGAGATAAAAGCTACATCTCCCTTGTCTCCTTTTTGCTATCAACTTAAAATGGAATACTTTTGGCAAAAAATAAATATAACCTCAGTAACATTCTGGAAGGTCTGAGATTTATATTAAAGATAAAATGGATTGCAATGAAGAAAGTGTCTCAGCCCGAAGCCCACATTTATCCCTCTCCCCAACTCCTCTGACTGCCTAAGTCTCTGTTGGAGCAAATGCGATGGTCTTTTATTGTCCCAAAAATGCCTTTGACAAAGAATAGAGAAAAGAGCAAATGGCTGAAAAAAGTCACAACCCAGTGGTCCCAAGTCAGTGTTCTTGGGTCCCACCTTACAAGCCAGAAGTCCTTGCTGTGGCAGTCAGAATGCGTGAATGGTGCCATGATCCTAGCTCCACATTCCCAAGCTGCAGCCAGTTGCTCAGTGGACTTGTGCACTGGTCCCACCATCTGGCCTGCACTCACTGCACACCCATCTCAAAACTGCATACTGAGCCCTCGTCAGTCTGAGGCAGCACTGTCAACAAACCACCAGACACGGGCTCATCCTGACATCGCTCAGGTCACTGTGGGGTTGGAACCAGACCAGAGAGACCTTGCTGTCCAGAATCCCATGCTCAGGAAGTGCTCTACTCTTGTAAACCCACACTGCTGAAGGTTAAACTGAAACCAGAGTAAGAAATTAGGACAGCTCTCCACATCTTCACACCGCGCTGTTGAAATCTGAGCATAGTGAGCTAGGTGTAGAAAGAACACCATGGCCAAGTGCTCGCAAGATGCAAGAGGCTGGAGAACAGTGAATGACGCCAGTCCCTGATGAGCAGGAGAACCCCACCCTTCACACACCAGCCAGGCCCACTTCCCTGTCAGAGGCATTTCCGAGGGAGGCTTTTGAAATGCTCTACGGCTTGTTTCCTGTCTGATAGCATCACACCCAAGCAAATGTTTTTGTCATAAACATTTTTTTAAAAGTATAAGCACATCTGTTTTCACCTGTATCTATGTCCAAGTGCGGGTCCTCACTTGTGCTTTGGCCTGTGAGTGTGGATGCCAGTGTATAAACATGCATGTGTGCGTGCACGCCATGTGTCAGTAAGCACATGATCTTTCATATTACCATATTAAGAAACTGTGTCTTCTAGCTTTTAAACAGATGCCAGTGTCTTACTGGATTATGCAGTGCACTCATTGGGGTCTTCCCCTATACTTTTTTTATACCCACTTTTCAGCACTGTTTCTTGTTAAGCCTTATTTGCTTTTCTATGTCTCCCTCTTTGGATTCACCAAGAACTCAGATAAAATAGTAGATCTGGGTTTTAAAACTTACACGATTTTGCATAAATACTCTCAAATTTTCAGATCATAAAACTTGGGTTAGGCTTAATGTATAAATTACCATGATAAAAATAGTGTATGCAATAACTGCATAACAACACTACTATTAATTTACAGGTAGTCTTCCCCATATTTTAGGTTCCAGTGATATTTGTCTTCACATGTAAGTGCTCTACATATAGGTATGAATGTTATTAGAGCACAGGTTTATTTTTGCACTTAAGCAGTAAAACTATTGTACATTAGTGCCTGCCACCTAAGAATTAGTAGTAGATACAGGTTATATTCCTCATCTAAGAATTTTACAGTCTTTACAGAAACAAAGATGAAAGTGATGCATAGAATAAGGGACATGCCCAGAACATCCACAGAGTAGAAAAGCAGATGAAATGTGAGGAACAGGTATGGGTTTTCATATAAGTACTGGGGGAGGTATTTTAGGATAGCTTTTGACATGGACATGATTTTCTAACTGACTTTTTCAGTGTTCTTCTTGATATTCAGAACATTGCAATTATTTGAGTCAGATTTTTTTCATTTTTAAAAAATATTTGTTATAGATTATTGCCAAAAAAATCTTACTTTAAAAAAAACTCAGTTAATTAAGTAAATACGATAACATTTTTACTTTTCTCTAGTGATGTCATTTTATGAATTGATTCTAGAACTTAAACTTTACTATGGACCAAAGGTACAGATCATTAATTATCTAATTTGATTATATACAATAATCATAGAAAGTTCTTTGGCATTGTGCTTTTAGGATACAAATATTAGTATATTTTTGAGACATGCTGTGTATAGCAAAAAGGGAAAGAATAGCATCTTTTAAAATTATGTAGCAAATACATACATAAACATGAATCCATGCATTCTCTATGAGAGCCAGTATCCATGAAAACCTCAAATTGAGTCTACCTCCTGACAGTCTCACTCTTGTGACATTCTCTCCCCAGTGTATTACAGCTGGTCTGCATGACCACTAGCATATGCCAGAAGTGGCATCATGTCTGTGATTGGATTGTAAGACTGTGACTTCCATCCAGTCTCTTCCTCCCCCCCACTCTGGCAGAAGTCAGCCACCATTCTGTGAGAACTTTCCAGGATCTTACAGAGAGGCCCATATGGAAAGGAAGAGAGGACAGCAGCCAACTTCCAACAAGGAATGGAGGCCCATCCTCAGCCATGTGAGCAAGGTGACAGCAGATTTTCCAGCCCCAGCCAAGCCTTGAGTTGGTTGCAGTTCTGGTCACAGGTCAACTATGGCTTCCAGAAACATCCTGAGCTAGAAGAATCCAGGTGAACCCTTTCCAGATTCCAACCCTCAGAACCTCTGTAAGGCAATAAACTATTATTTTCGTTGTTGTCGTTTTGTTTTGCTTTGTTTCTGGGTTGTTTTTTTTTTTTTTGAGACAGGGTCTCATAATGTAGCCCAGACTGGCCTCAAACTCACAGCGAGCCTCCTGCCTCAACCTCCCAAGTGCTGGGATTATAGGGATGCACCACCACACCCACTCGTTGTTGTTTTAAAATGACAAGGTGGAAGTAACTTGTTGTGCCACAGTGGTGACAAATTTAGCTGATGTTGGACAGGAAAGAAGCATTTAGGATTGATTTTTTTTTTTTTTTTGAAGCTCTTAATCTTTTAAGCCTGTCACTGATAACCAGCATATTTCTGCTTTAAGTTAATATTAGATGATGGTGAAATTAATATTACATAAGGCTTACCCTGATGAATGCTTTTTCTATAGACATAGAAAATATAAATTTTTTTCTTTAAAAAAATCAGTTAATGCCACATAAAGCACAAAACGGTTTTTACTTAAGTGTTTTGGATAAGATAGCATTTTTCAAGAAATGCAACTGCCACAAAATTCATATCTTGCAAATAACAAGCTGTTGGTACAGATCACTCTTGGAGAAGAACACACTGCATAAAGGGTGTGACAAATGCCAGTGCTATGAGGATCGTCTGCCAGCAGACAGACGTATGACTAAAGGTTATTCTTTGTTTCACTAGGTTGTACAATGTCAAGAAATTCTACTGTTACTGAAAATACTTAAATACTTTCAGAAATGCTAAATTAAATACTTACTTTCAAAATTGTGACTTTGTAGTTCCTAATTCCTAAGGGCATTCTATGATCCCGTGATGTCACTATCAAGGCTTCAGCAATTCTTCCCCGGAAGTCTCTGCTGGAGACTGGCGCACTCAGGTGAGTGGGATGTTCTTTCTGTGTAAACTTCCGGTTCCGGTGCAAGGTGGCAAGGGGCAAGCAAGGAGGGTAGACAGAAGTTTGCATTAGTTTGCCATGGCTTCCTTAACAAAGTGCCACAGATTGGGTGACTTGAACAACGGAAATTTATTGTCTCATCAATCTGGGGCTAGAAGTTCAAGATCAGCAGGTTGGCAGGTTTGGTTTCTCCTGAGACATTTCTCCTTGGCTTGTAGATAGCGCTCTCCTCTGTAGGATTATGTAATCTCCATTCTGTACATGGTGTCCGAATTCCTTCTTCTTATGGGGACATCAGTCACAAACTTTGGGTCGCCCTCATGACTTTATCTCATCCTTTCAAATACTGTCTCCAAATCACATTCGGAGGTATTGGCAGTTAAGGCCTTCAATTTACTAATCTAGGGGGATACTATTCAGCCGATGAGAGAATCTAAACATATTGTTCAGGTAAACAATTAACAGAAGAAACAAAGTCACTGAAATCTTAAGCAGAAAATACAATCAAAGTGATCATGGATTGAGACTTCTTGTGAGTGTATTATGGTAATTTCTGATGTGCTTTTTAACTGAAATTTTTATTTCTTCTGCATAATATGTGTAATACTCAATTGGTACAAATACCTTAGTTCTAAGAAAGACAAATTTTCCACCAGTTTTTAAAATTTACCTTAATATTTCTTATCGTAAGCTTATATTTCTGTCATGTGTGTTTCTCTAAATAAAGACAAATGTGTAATAATCATTCACTTACCAGAGTCCTGCTATTAGCAGGAGCCCAGACCAATCCTTCCCTCATCTATCGTTTTTAAATTATCCCAAATAAAAGATAATAGAAAAATTCTACCAACACAATGAATACGCGATGGGTATTATCACTGTTAACAGTCCTGTTAGTGAGTGGGCTACCAGGTAGGATGAAGCATTTGGTGCCCCGTCCTTGCCATACACCCTCCCAAACAGTGTGACGGTCAAGACGGGGCTCGATGTCGGCTGCAGACTCAGCAAGCGTCCATCGCTCGTCACCTAGATGCAACAGAGGAAAGCAGACCTTTAAAATATACAACCCGATGACACAGCACTTTTACGATGTGGAACCAATGAAAACCGCTGGCCAAATTCAGTTCTATTGGAAATAGTTGGAGGACTGGAGATGTAGCTCAGTGTCTTCCAGGCACAAAGCCCTGCATTCCCTGTTCAGCAACACACACACACACACACACACCACAACAATTTTAGAAATATTTGAAATGTACAGAGCATAAGAAAATTTGAAAAACTGAAGCTATGGGACGGGCATTGATTGATTAGTTTAAAAATGCCTGTAATCAATATTCTAGAAATCTAGATCTTTCAGATAAAAAATTTTTTAAAAATTCTCCTCTGAATGAAAGAGTGACTTCACTTGGCCAGAAGTGAATGGTCCAGGCGAGGTCTGAACTAAGCATTTGTCACAGGCTTCTGTCACGCTCCCCAGCCTTTAGGCTGTCCCCTCGCCACCCCCCTCAAGTGGTTTCTGACAGGCAAGAGGAATAAGAGCAGAATCTGCAGAATTCAGTGGAAGAACATGACTAGGAAAAGCCCGTGTGAAGCGGGAGATTAGTTCAGGGCAGTAAAGTTTGTGCCTTCTTGTCAACACCAGCTTCTGTCGAATTCTCTCCCTTTCAGCTCTTCCTTCTCTCCTCTCTGACTGACTGTCACACCGGACCTGGACTCGCGTGAGGAGAGGGATCCTGTCATCTTCTCAAGCTCATCCCTGGTCGGTGGTCTTAACGGGATTCTCTGCTGAGGCTAGTCCTGAGCTATTCTGATCAAAACCTCTCCCTACTCCACTGACCAAGCTCCTCTCTACAGTCTGGATAAGATTTATTTCCTTCTATCCAAGCACATACAATCGTAGTAGCAACTTCTAGGCAAGACGTTCAGCCTGTTGCGTGTCCTTCCTGATCCACAAAGATAATCTGATCCCTTTTGAATGGAGATTTGCACAATATTTTGAAGCACTTGGGTAAGGTTTTGATGTCAAGCAGTGCTTCTTCTTTTATGAAATTAATTGGCCATATCAAGCAAAAATTGTTACCTGAAATTCTCTGGGCGCAAGCTGAACTTCACTCAGCAGCACCTCAGGGAAGACATATTGGGTCCCAAAAGTGCCGCTGAGGGAGAACATCTCGAACTTGGTAGCAGCTGTGTCAGCTGAGTCACCACAGCTCTGTACAACAGTTGTCTTACACTTCAGCAGGGTGCAGATCTAGAGATGTGAAGCATCAAGAAGTCAGAGCAAGTGATGTGCATGCAATGACTTGATCTAATCATTTCACAATGTATGTAATATCAAAGTATCGTACACCACACAACTACTTTTAATATCATCACAATAAAGTTGTGGTAAAATTTTTTTTTGTCTTTTTTGAGACAGGGTCTCACTATGCAGTTCAGGCTGGTCTTGAGCTCGCTTTGTAGCCCAGGCTGGCCTCAAATTTGCAACAATCCTCCTGCCTCAGCCTCCCAAGTACTGGGATTAGAGGTGTGTGCCACCACGCCCAGCTGTGGTGAAATTATTTCAACTGATTTATTTAATGCTAGCTGCTCTTTAAAAAAACAAAAATAATAAGAAAATCAGTTGAGCCGGACATGGTAGTGCATGCCTGTATTCCCAGCACTCAAGAGGCTGAGGCAGGAGGATCACAGTGAGTTTGAGGCCAGCCTGGGCTATGTAATGAGTTCAAGGCCAGCCTGCACTACAAAGTAAGACCCTGTCTCAAAAAAAAAAAAAAAAAAAAAAAAAAAGAAAGAAGTTACATCCTTTGTATATGAACAACAACTTTTCTTCCACTATACTTTTTAGCTACTTCTATATAAAATCTAAGTAAGGGAGTCTTCTCACCACAGATGGAAAGTTCCCAAAAGCAAAACCCAGATTCATGTAACTAGATCTGAATAGCATCTTCTAATCCACCTTCACCTCTTGCCAGACTAAGGTATTAGCATTGAGCTCATCTCCTTGCTGCAAGTTTGCAGATGACAGGCAGGCACTTCAGGGAAAGGGTGTTGAGATGAGAGAAAAATAACTTTTAGGTAAAGGTAGAATGAATACATACTTCTATTTTGTTCCCTTATTAACCTAGAGAAACCAACACTAACTTTACAATAGAGATATAAACCCACAGGACAGGAAAATAAGACAGACCACAGCAACTTTAGAAATTGGGGTGCTGATGCAATAAATATGGTAACTGATTCAGGACAGCTAAGAAACCCAGCTAAACTGGAGGTGCTGAAAGCCAATAATCAACCCCACCCACACTGGAGGACACCCGCAAGATTCCATCACTGGGGTCACTCAGCACCCCAGAGCTGAGAATATGTTATGATGGCTGAAGGAAGAAAAATTAGTGGGTAATTGTGAAGACGCCCTTACATGCTAAGTCCTCTACAACATATGAGCCTCTGACACTGCCATACTCCAATAAAAGCCTGGGAATTTATTGCAGGGAGGTAAAGCAGATGGTCTTTAGATGAGGGTATGAATGACATAGTTGATGAGGATGACATGAATGAAATCATACTGAATGTTAAAAATATTTCCCTCTATCACCCCGTGCAGGCACCCTGCAAGGCCATTTCACCAAGCTGACTCCATAAATGCCTAAATACAGACTTAGAAATAGAGTTACCACATAAAGTATAAGGCAGGACTTCCAGGCAAATTCATGTCCAGGAATGTAACTCAGTGGTAGAGCACTTGTCTAGCACATACAAAGCTGCGGTTCTCCGACACCACAAAAGAAATTGTCAACACAATGAGCAGTTGTTTAGTGTAATTACATATTAAATATTGAATGGGATACACAGTACTTATATTTAAAAAGTTGTTGTTTATCTGAACTTCAAAGGATCCTATGTTTTTTTATTTTAATTAGGGGCCCTGTAGAGGAAGGAAATTAAAAGCATCTTGAAACCTGAAACCTGATCCCAAGAGGAAGTTTCTAAAGGTGCTTCCTTCAGAGATTCACCTAACAAAATACCCAGCTAGATCACCCTGCTGTGAAACTCAAGGTTGGTTGGCAAGTGTGTAGTCCCCACACACTCAGGACTTGCAGCCAGGTTGTGTCATCCTCAAGCATTACCAGGTATCCCATGAAAACTCCTAACATGAAAGACAGAGCAAAACAAGCAAATAAAGGCAAGGGAACTAGAGACACCTATTTACAAAGATCATGCCAAAAACCAGGAAGGAAGCTCTTACCCTTCCCAAAGCTAAAGTCAAAGCAAAGGTTTTTGAAGACCAAGGAAGCTGTGTTGACAGATATTCACAACCATGCAAAAGAATATCTGAAGGTCACCAACTCTCCAGCTGCTCAAGCCACTGAGGTTTGCAAGGCAGCCCAAATACCCTCAGAAGAACATATCCAAAAGACATAATCACTACACCTGATCACTATGCATCATCATCCCCTGACCACGGAATCAGCTATGAAGAGACTAGAGGGCAAAACCACACTTGTGTTCTTTATGGATGTCAAGGTCAACAAGCAGCAGATGAAGCAAGCTCTGAAGAAGTTGATTGACACTGATGTGTCCAGCCCTTGACCAGCCCTGATGGAGAGAAGGCATATATTCGACAGCCTCCCAAGCACCGTGCTTTGGATAGTGCCAGTAGAACCGGGATCATCTAAACTGAGTTTACCTTACTCTAAATACACATTAGAAAGGAAGGAAAGGAAAGAAGGAAGGAAAAAGGAAGTGAAGGAGAGAGGCAAGGAGATGGAGGAAGGAAATAGAGACGATAAAGAAATATCAAGAAATTTTTCTATTTTTTATGGCACTGTGGATTGAATCCAGAGCCTTCACAACCCTAGAAAGAGTTGATTCAAAGAAACCTAGTGTATGAGGATCAGAGGCACAGGCACTGAGAGATAAGAAAGAGGGGCAAGTCCAGAGTGTGTTGTTGTGACCCTTCTCCAGGACAAGTTAGGTCCTACAGTGACAGGCTCTAATTTTGTATGGTACTTTTCCTGTGAAGCATTTGCCACAACCAAACTTAAATAGCAGTCTTCTTAATTTCCTGTTCGATACTTATCAATACTCCCTTTAGACATAGCTCTATAAGGCAACACTTACATTTCTCCTGCTCATCCTATCTCTAGCTTGCATCAGGTGCCTGCATATGGCAGGTATTACATAAATACTTGGTAGCAGAACTGGTCTGCATGGAGTAGATGAGGATAAGTAGTGATTTAAAGAGTTCGGAGATTGGACCAAGGCCAGATTGCTCCTACACGGAGAAGCAGAATTGCCCAAGGTTTTCTGACAGTCCTATCCATCTTGCTAACACATTACTCAAGCCCATGGATTTGAACTGTGGTTTTCAGCAGATGTTTTAGCTCTAATTTCTTGTATCATTGGGGAATAAATTTTACATTCCAAAAGCCCCAGAGGCTAGTGATTTAGAGGGCTCTGACCTTGGGGAAAGGACCTGGAAAGGCCCAAAAGTAGTAATCTAAGGAAGAAAACCCCTACGTGCATTTGGTAAAAAGAATTAACTTCATTCTCTATCATTTATTTGTTTTGATTTACTCAGTAATTTCTTAAAATATTCAGGATGCCCCATCTCCCATGCCCTTATAGCAATTGCTCTAACTCTTTATTTCCTTCGGCTCTTCAAGCTGATTTACTCAAACTTTAACCGCTCTGTAGAAAATGCCACCACTTCCTTCTTTTTCCACATCCTTAAAAATGTTACAACATCACAGGTATGTACCATGTGACACTTAGAAAATCTGTGACATAATGCAGGGGTTTATTTCATCTTTACTTCACTTTCTCTCTCTTTTCTTTGGTTAAGATGTAGCTTTTAGTGATAATAGTGATTTTCTTGCATAACATAGCATCATAATTAGATTTTGAAAGATTATCAATATTGTACAATAACAAAATGCCCCCCACAATAACAAAATCCCTTATCCTCAATACTAAAATCCAAACTTCTCTGAAAATAAAGGACTTTTCTAAACCACTTGACATTAAAATCAAAGTAGAATAAACATAAGGCTGTAATGTGTTTGTTTAAGCTATTTTGGGTGAATATTTCCATGTTTTCCAACCGATAGATTTATTCAGGGTGTTGCCCCAGACTCTGCTGGTAATACACCTAATATATGTCAAAATTCTTCTAGAATAATTCCAAGTCCTAAAACACGTGTGGTGCCGGTAGACGACCCTGTTGCCTCAGTATTGCTTCCTCTTATGCATCCCTTTCTCTTTTGCTGCTCTCTTCCTCAGGCCTGTATGGATAGCCAAGGCTCATCTGCTGGAAAGAAACAAGACTTCTGAGCACAAGTCTCTGCACAGCGCTGTCTTGTTCCCCTTTTCTTGTCTCAAAGTTTTTGGGGAAAACATTCATTTCCCCTCTCAATATCTTGACTTCCCTTCTCAAACACTGTCATGAGCTCAGGATATGCCACCAGGATTGGACCCATTAATGCCAATAATGCTAAACATGTTTCATAAACTTGACTCTCAACTTCCTCCAGCTGAAAGTGTTTACAATTTTTGGCATCCACAAAAGTTCTATTTGTAAATTCTTTTATTTCTCAATCATATTTGTACATTCCTATTCTTTTATTTCCTGTCCAAATACTGGAGTTCCTAACGGCTCCACTTCTACTACCATTTTTCATTGTCCATATACCCATGTTCCCCTCAAAGTAAGACCTAACTGGAAAGTAAGGGCTGGGATTACCACAGTGATGGTCAGTGTCATGCATAAGATCATACTTAACTCTTCTCTTCCTTACCCTGTAATTGTAGATAAGGCAAGGCCACTGGGGCTGGCATTTTTTATTTCTTGTTTTCAAGGCTGACTATTTTCTAGTTAGATCTTATTTTCAGGGAAACAGGGTAGCCATCTTTGCAAAGCCATCCACTCTTGGAGCTTTAATCATCACCTATATCCTGATGATTTTCAAAACAGTATTTCTAAGCCCAACCTTCCTCGATCATTAAACCCATATATTCAGCAGCCTATTGGGTGGCTCCAGCTGAATGTCCCATAAGTGCTTTAAAACTAGCAGGTCCCAGAATGAACTCAACATCTCTCTATTGCCACTTGATTCATTCCTTTAGCATCCAGATCTCTCAGCACCATCTCATCTACCTAGACACTCTTGCCAGAACCTGGCATAGTCTAGACTCTTCATTCGACTTTCTGGTTCCATAACAAATTAGCCACTGAGTTGATTCCCAAATATTTCTTTACGTTATACTATGCATTTATTCCTACTAACATAATCTTGGTCCACACTCTAATAGGACCATTTTATTACTCTAGTTTTTTTTAACCTAGGTTAATCTAGTTTCAAACTACATTGTGTCCCAAAATGGTCTATTCAAAAGCAAATCTGACCATATCATTCCCTTGTCAAACATCTTTCAGCTGCTGACTGGCAACAACAGAATAATGTATGGATCTTGTATATGCAAGGTAGGGGTTTATGGGATATGGTGCTGGGTCCAGGCTAATCCTCTGCCAGCCCTTGCTTTTCACATTATACCCTTCCTGCACACCCTGGTCTTCCACATATCCACACTCTTGCTCATCCTCCCACTCCATCTAGAATTCCCTCCACTCTCTTTCACCCAGATAGTACCATCAGCTCCAGAAAGTGCCCTGGATCCTGAAATTAACTCAGTTCAGTCCTTATTCCTCTTAGAGCAAAATGTACCTACTGTGTTCTACCACATGTGAGCCTTTACTGAGATTATCTATTCAAAAGGTTTTTTTTTTTTTTTATTATCCTACACGCAAAACTTCTGAAGAGGAAGGTCTATACTTATTCATCTTTATGTCATTAGCACTAAATGCCTACCTGGCTTATAGGTGGAACTCAATAAACGTTTTTGAAAACATGTAAGCATTGGTACAGTGCTTGTCATAAAGCAATGTTATGCAGTCGTTATCAATCCAGCATTCAAAGGCACTCAGTCTCTATTATGTGAATAATGTGACATAAAGTGAGTTTGATGAATGATGTTCTGGGAGCACCTGGGTGATGTACCTTAACCCAGGTGGGGGGGTGGGCAGTGACTGCAGAAATGCCATGGTGAAGATAATAACTGAAAATCATTGTGAAAAAACAAGCCATGCAAGCATTCACAAATTCTGCAGATGCTGGCAAACTGGAGGTAGACAAATGCATCTTCAGTCGAGGCACACATGAATAGAGGTGGAAGAAAGGGGCAGAGAATAAGAAAGGGCCACACATCAAGCCTTTGTGAGTCTTTCATGTTTGAGAATTTGACCTTTCAGTTAGTGACGAGTTGTTAGAAAGTGACATAATCAGAAGTGGTTTCTCATGATTTTTGCAATAGTAGTGTAGGGAATGGGGTGGATAGAGGTGAAATGACCAAAGAAACTCTGTTAAGCAGGTATTGCAGTCATCTGAGTGAGGATGGGGCCAGAATAAAGAAGAATAGAGCAGGATCCATCTCACCGCAGTATAATAGCTCACTCTTTATGTCAAGGGTTAGCAGACATTGAATTTGCAGCAATAAACTATTCTACTGAACAATCCCAGACACACCTCCATCTGTCTCCAGTACATAAACACTTAATGTCAAGCTCTTTCTAAAGCAAGATAAGCATTAGTGAATATAGAAAGAAAATGTCTAAATTTTAGGCCACGTATGAGAATTTATCTATCAGAATTACCTAAAATTTGAATAACTTTTAATGTCAATATTGCAAATGAGTATTACGACTTTTTTCCAACCAGTTTAAAATTGGACTGATATCTAGAATTTCAAGATTTAGCAAATAAAAATACAAGCTTCCCAGCTAAATTTGTTTCAAATAAAGAAAAAAAAAAATAGAATATGTTCCCTAATGAGGGACATACATACAGTGTACTAAAATCATTCTTTATCCAACACTGAAATTTACCTAAGCATCTGTATTTTATGTAGTAACTCTTCTGACCCAAATCATTACCTGTAGATAATAGCGCCCTTCAACAGTATGTAGCCCATCAAACGCTCCTAAGGCATAAACTTCATCTGACCTCTTTTCAGACATCTGGTAGCTTAGATGACAACAGAGATCTTTCTGGCAGACTGTGTAATTTCCTGTGATTTCTTTGAGCTCCACAAAGATGTATTCATCATGAAAGACAGTTCCTTTAAATTCCTGGTTTCTCATTGAGAAAGCTTCAATACTGCTGGCATAAGAAGTCCAATTCACTATGGGGTGGTAGGGGTGGGAATCCAGTTGGGCCAGGAGGAGTTTTCCCTCCTTGGTCTTCATATCGTAATGAAATGTTTTTGGAAAATCGGGTGCATAGATGCCACTTCCTGGAAGTAAACAGTTGGAAGTACTGAGTGAAAAGTTGTTATTATTGTTATAAACTCATACTATCATTTCATTCCTATAAGCCATATATTTTACTAGTTTTAGTAAAATATGCTGGTAAGGAGTCAGAAAGATAAGACAAAATCCAATAAAATATAACACAAGAAGGAAAAGGCTCATGTCAAAAGAGAAAAAGAGTATATATTATTCAAGTTGAATAAGACTAAATCTACACAATAATGTAGATTGAGATTAATTCTACAGCATATCACCTGCTAGATGTATAAAATTCAAGAGTTAGATAGAAAGCCACATGCCTGTAATCTCAACTCTCCAGGAGAGGAGGTAGGAGGATTACTAAGTTTGAGCCTGATTTGGGCAATTTAGCAAGTCTCTGACTCAAAAGAAATTTTATAAAGGGCTGTGGATGTTCTTCCTACATCCCAATACCCATCCTCCATTTTGCTCCTCTTTCATCCTTTGGGTTTCTCATACAAGAGAAACAATGTGATATTTAAACTGGTGTGTCCAATTTACTGCATTTAAAATTATGGTCTTGCAGTGCATTCTTGCAGTGCACTTAAAAATGGCTCAAATTTATCTTCCTAATGGCACAGTAGTACTCCACTGTGTATGAATAGTTTCACTAGGGAGGGGCAGGGGAATGGAAGAAAGGGAAAAGATAAAAAAAAGAGAGGATGGAAGGAAAAAATGGAAACAAAGCTTTTGTACATGGGGAGGAAGAAGGGTTGAAGGGAGGGGAGGGGAATGGAAAAAAGAATTAAGATGGATCATGTACAGGTACAAATTCCCTATGATGAATTGATCATTATGCATACCAAACATGTACCAATAAAAAAAAAAAATCTCATGGAGAGGGTTGCAGATGTAGATCAGTGAAAGGGCCCTGGATTTAATCTCCAGTACTAAAAAGAAATACATACATACATACATAAAGTTGGAAATGATTGTATGGAGGAGCACATGTTATTAAAAGATGATCTTGTAAAACTGAACCTTAAGGTCCACACATTACCTGTCATTCTCAGCAGAGGGTTATGTAAATTGGAGGCAAGGAAATTGACCCCCATGCCCATAGCCCAAGCCGAGTGGAACTCAATGGCTGATAAATGTGGCAGAACATTCATCCAAGCCGTGGGGAAAAGGATGGTGTTCACGTGGCGGTCTTTCACCAGGGTGACAGCAGGGTCATGGAAGAGCACATCAAAGCACGTGAAAATGCCGAACTTCCCAAAGGCAGTGTCAAAAGTCACGACCTCAACCTCCTTGGGTGTATCGAATTGTTCTTCCCCCATGAAAAGATTTTGCTGTGATGAACAGAAAATTAAAAGAAAAAGAACCCTTTAAGATGTTTCCCCAGAGATCACTGTCCCTGGGAAAGTGGATGCTCATATCTAATTAGGCAGGGCTAGTTTCCTCTGTGATAGGGGTCTTCATAGGCCAGAGCCCCTCTGGTGGGATGGAGCCTACAATTCAATCTTCACATTACTGACTTGCACTTGGGCACCCTTGTCTTTAACCTTACAAGGTAAAGGAGTGAAACACACAACCCCTATTTGTGAAGGATGCTTAACTGCTTCTTGGCAGCAAAGAACTGTATTTGCTTCTCTCTCTTCAAGACCAAGTCTGTCTGATGAGTTCCTGAACACGCCCCCTCTGAGAGTCTCTCCACACCTAGTCATTACTTTTCATGTTTTGCTTCTACTCTGTTTCTAAAGCATCCTTATTATCAATTGTAACAGTTTCCCCCCTCTTAAGCATTCATTAAGTATTCAAATACCTGTTTCTTTGTGCATTCGTTTTACCTTATGGTAGCGGGCCACCAGCTTTCCCTGAGAATCGAACACCACATTCGTGTTGTACTGGTAACGGCCGTCAGGGGGACACTGAGGGTCGCTGGCGTTGCATGGCTTCTTGTCCCCTATATTTGCCACCACATAGATGGCATTGTCTCTGGCCAGGCAGCTGAGTCTTTCTTGTACTGGTGCATGGCCAAATCTGGTTTATATTCATTGGAAGAAAGAAAAGCTAAATCAAGCTTAGCTTTTAACTTAACTCAGAATGGCATTTGCCTGAACCTATTTTTTTCCTGTATACAAAAATAAATTCTTACAATAGATAGAAGAGAAGGATTCAGATGCAAAGGCATCTGGGCAGGATGGCATGCATTTATAATGCCAGTGCTGTGGGAGGCTGAGGCAGGCAGATCCCAAGTTTCAGCCCAGCTCGGGCAACACAGTGACTTAGAGAGATCCCTTCTCAAAATTTAAAGTTTAAAATAGGGCTGGGGATGTAGTTCAGCATAAAGGTCCTGAGTTCAATCCCCAGATGGCAAAAAAAGAAAAAGAAAATGAAGAGATTAAGGAAGGAATAATGGAAGGAAGGAAGAAAAGAAGGAAAAAAAGGAGGGAGGGAAGAAGGAAGGGAGGGAGGAACAAAAAGGAAGTTCAAAAAGAAAAAACCACGCATGTGGGAATTTGGCTGTAAGAACATCTTCTAGGGTAAGATTCCAGGTCATATATATATATATTTTTTCTTCATAACATGGTACCCTGTATCATAACCTATAATCACATATTCACTTATGTGTTCATCTTTAAATGTCTGGGGCATTATGTAGATATTATGGGGAAAGACCTGCATATCTTGCTTACTGAACCCATGCCTGAGAGCAAAGGAGCATTGCAAACATTTTGAATGAGTGAACCAAAACTTGGAACCAGGAGGATCCTGGAAAGATGGCACAGTATGAACACCAGGCATGTGACTTCCTCCCAGGACAAAAGTACCACTGCTGAATCTCTCTGATGAACTATTTTGGAATTGTGAAGTCAATACAAAGGTTTGCACCTTTCAGGGAAGCCAGGAGATGTAAATTTTAGTTAAATTCAGCTGTAATCTCAGGAATGCCATTGATTTTACACCCCCAGCCACCAACAGAAGCTGTGTGTCTGTTTCTGGAGGAGCTTGTGGGCAACTTATGGGAACAGGGTGGGACAATAAGGATGAGGTCCTCTAAACATCAGGGCTATGTGCGCTGATCACTGGCGCTGCTTCTATGCAGGGAACTCCAGGCACAGAGGCGGGCACACAGCCCTGCTCCCCCACATCCGTACTGCGCTGGGTCAAGCCCTCCCTGCAGTGATCACTGCTGTATTTAAGGGAAGCAGGCTTTTTTTCTTTCTTTTCTTTTCTTTTTTTCCTTCATTTTTTTCTCTTTTTCCCTCTTCGGAAGCCAGCCATTTAAGAAATAAGTATACAGAAGCAATCAAGTAAACAGGAACTTTAGGAAGGCACACACAGGTCAGGGAAAAGGTAGGCTTAGAAGAAAACCCAAGAAGACTTTATACCTCACACTGATCCCTCACAGAAACAGTCTACAACAGAAAAAGGAAGAGGAGGGAGAAGAAATGCAGCAGCCCCTGAAAACGAAGAATCTAAGCTCCAGAGCTACAATATTATAAGACTCAAATGCTCGATTATCAACAATTCCCAAGGAAGGCAAAGGGGAATGCGAAACAAAGCACCATTCCGAGTAACACAGCAGAAAACACCATTCCGAGGAACACAAAACAAACCAACAGAAACTACCCCTGGAAAGACAGATGTAGGTGTAAAGACAGACTTCACAATAACAACCTTAAAGATTTCGAGGAAGATGTAGACAAAGTCAAGAAAGCGTGTGTGAATAAAACAGAAACATCAGCAAAGAGAAAGCCTAGAAGAAATCAAAAGGAAATTTTGGAGCTGAAAAGCACTACCATTCAAGTAAAAAATGAAAGGAATTGAAGGATTTGAGCAGACTGTGGGAGGCTGAGGCAAGCGGATCCCATGTTTCAGCCCAGTCTGGGCAACTTAGTAACGAAGACAGATCCTGTCCCAAACTTTAAAATTTTAAAATAGGCCTGGGGGTGTAGTTCAGTGTGAAGGCCCTGAGGTCAGTCAATGATCATGAAGATGGGATAAGTCAAATTACTAAGTCTGAGAAACAACAATGAAACAAAAGACTGAAGAAAATGGAATAGACCCTAAGAGACATTGAGACAACAAATGGACCAAAAATACCCATTGTGGGAGTTCTAGAAAGACAAAGCAATTGTTTGAAAAGATAATGGCCAAAAACACCCCAAATTTGAACAGGACATGAATAATCCAACAAGCTTAACATACTCCAAGCAGGATGAACACAAAGGACCCACACTGAAATGTACCACACTCGCCGGATGTGGTGGTACAAGCCTGTAATCCCAGCACTTGGGAGGCTGAGGCAGGTGGATCATTGCAAGTTCGAGACCAGCGTGGGCTACAAAGTGAGCTCAAAGCCAGCCTGAATTGCATAGCGAGATTCTGTCTCAAACAAACAAAAAAATGTACCACACTCAAATGAAAGCCAAAGACACAACAAGAATATCAAAAGGAGCAAGAACAAAATGACTCATAACATGTTCATGATCCCCAAAAGGACTACCAGAAGGCTTCTCATCAGAAACTTTAGGAGAAAATAGCAAACATATATAAAGCTGTGTGTAACGTGCTGAAGGAAAAACCAACTGCCAACCAAGAATCCCACATCCAGGAAAACTGTTTTTAAAAGTGAGGGAGACCTTAAGACATTTCCACATACATAAAAACCAATGGAATTTGTTGCTACTAAACCTGCTCCATAAGCAAGAACGTTCTTGCTTATACAATGAGCAAGGGAGTTCTGCGAGGTGCAATGAAAGGACATTAGATAGTAACAAAAACCTGTTTAAAGAAATAAAAATGTAGGTAAAGGTGAATACATAAGCAAATACACAGGCCAGATGTGGTGGCATACTCCTGTAATCCCAGCACTAGGGAGGCTGAAGCAGGAGGATCGCTGTAAGGTCGAGGCCAACCTGGGCTACAAAGTGAGTTCAAGGCCAGCCTGAACTGCATAGTGAAACCCTGTCTCGAGTAAATACACAAGAAAATGCTGTTGAACTTCCATTTGTAACTCTAGTTTTTGTTTTTTACAAAGAGTATACTACATTGAGAAAAAATTATTAGCTAACAACTAATATTATTGTACCCCACATTTTATTTCCTATATAATTTAAGAGATCAACTCATTAGAAACTATTAATATACAATGGCATACAATGAATAAAGATGTAAACTTGTGAAATTAATAAGTGAAAGGAGACATATATAAACAATTTATGTTACTAAGGTTCACACAAAGTCACACCTCACTGACCTTCCTAGATACAGCCAGAGCTATCTTACTAATCCTTTAATCCACTTTAATTGTCACAGGAGCCATGGTGAAAATAGCTGTACAATACACAGAAAAGCAAGAAACTGAAATTATCCCATGCATATTATCAGACCACAATGCAATGAAATTGGCAATCAGTGGCAGAAGAAACCACAAAAACTTCATAAACACATGGAAATTAAGTAACACCCTCCTGAACAACCAATGGGTCACAGATGAAACTAACCAAGAAATTAGATAGTTTCTACAATTAAACAATAATATCAGTGCAACATAGCAGAACTTATGGGACACAATAAGAGCAACTGACAAGGGAAATTTATAGCTGTGAATTCCTGTATCAGAAAAATAGAGTGAGCTCAAATAAACACCCTAATGTTAAACCTCAAGCTTCAAGAAAAAGGAGAGCAAGTCCAAATCTTCTACAAGGAAGGAACTATAAAGAGAACAGCAGAAATTAATGCAATTGAGACTAAGAAAACAACACAAAGAATCAAGGAATTGAAGAGTTTTGAAAAGATGAATGAAAATTGACAAACCCTTAGCCAACCTTCTCAAAAAGAGGAAAGAAAATACTCAAATCCATGCAGTTAGGAATGAAAAGAATGAAATCACAACAGATACTGCAGAAATCCAGAAAATCATCAATACCTACTTCAAGAACTTGTATTCTAATAGAAGGAAAACACAGAAGAAATGGGCAGATTCCTAGATACATATGAACTACCTACCAAATCTGAGTCAAGAAGATACAAAAATTCTAAATAACCCGATATCAACCAATGATATTGAAGATATAGTTAAAAACCTATCACTAGGGCTGGGGATTTAGCTCAACGGCACAGCACCTGCCTGACAAGTGCAAGGTTGTGAGTTCAATTCCCAGTACTGGAAAAAAACCAAAACCAAAACAAAACAACAACAACAAAAAACTATCAATAAAGAATTGACCAGGTCAGGACAGATTCACTACTGAATTCTACAAGAAATTTAGAGAAGACCAAATGTTGCTACTTCTCAAACTCTTTAATGAAATTGAAAAGTAAACAATTCTCCTTAACTTATTCCTAGAGGCAAGTGTTACTCTGATATCAAAACTAGAAAAAGACCCAACCAAAAATGAGAACTACAGGCCAATCTCCCTAATGAACCTAGATACAAAAATCCTCAATAGGATACTGGCAAACAGAATGCAGCAAATCATCAAGAAGACAATGTACCATGACCAAGTAGGATTCATCACAGCAATGTAGGGATGGTTCAACATACGCAAGTCAATAAATACAATCCACCATGTTAACCAAACCAAGGACAAAAAAATATGATTATCTCAATAGATGCAGAAAAAGTGTTTGAAGAAGTCCAGCACCATTCATGATAAAAATCCCTAGAGAAAACTGAAATAAATGGTCTTTATCTCAATCTGATAAAAGCTATCTATGACAAACCAACAGCTACCATCATACTAAATGGACAAAACTGAAAACTTTTACTCTAAAGTCAGAAAAAGACAAGGATGTCCACTATCACCACTTCTTTTCACCATAGCTGTGGATCTATTAGCTAGAGCAATTAGACAAGAGAGAGAAATAAAAGGAATAGGGATAAGAAAAGAAGAAATGAAATTATCATTATTTACAGATAACATAATACTCTACATAGAAGACCCCAAAAACTCCACCAAAAGACTTATAGATTTAATAACCAAGGCCAGGTGTAGCAGCACACACCTGTAATCCCAGCACGAGAGGCTGAGGCAGGAGGATCATTGTGAGTTTGAAACCAGCCTGGGCTACAAAGTGAGCTCAAGGCCAGCCTGAACTGCATAGCAACCCTGTCTCAAAAAGACCAAAAATAGATTTAATAACCAAATTCAGTAGTGTAGCTGTATACAAAGGGAACACTCAAAAATCAATAGTGTTCCTGCACACAAGTAACAAATTCACTGGGAGAGAAATTAAGGGGGGAGAAAACATCTTTCACAATAGCATTCAAACAGATGAAATACCTAGAAATCACTCTAACAAAGGAAGTAAAAGATCTCTAGATTGAAAACAATAGTACTCTCTCTGAGCAAGTATATCAGAAAATGAAAATATATCCCTTGTTTTGGGATAGGAAAACACAATGTAGTGAAAATGCCATACTCCCCAAAATTGTTATATGAATATAACACAATCCTAATCAAAATACCAGTAGTATAGAATTAGAGAAAACAATCCTAGAATTCATTTGGAACCAGAAGAGACATAGAATATTAAAAGCAATTCTGGGCAACAAAGGCAAGGCAAGAAGCATCACTATCCATGACTTGAAATTATACTACAAAGCTACTGTGACAAAAGCAGCATGGTACTGACAAAAAACAGACCCAAGGATCAATGGAACAGTTTAAAAGATGCAGACACAACTTCAAATGCATTTAGCTACCTTGTCTTTGACAAAGGAGCCAAATACCTTCACTGGAAGAAAGATAGTCTGTTTAATAAGTGGTGATGGGAAAAGTACCTTTCCACATGACAAAGATTAAAACTAGACCCATGTCTTCCATCACGCACTAAACAAAAATTGAAATGGATCAAAGATCTAAATGTTAAAACAGAAACACTTAATCTTCAGGAAGATAGGATAGGTAAAACTCTTAAAGACACTGGTGTAGGCAAAGACTTTATGCTTACAAAACCCCAATGGCACAGAAAATATCACAAAGAATCAACAACTGGGATCATCTTATTAAAAATCTTTTTCACAGCAATAAAACCACCAACAGAATGAAAAAACAACCCATATGATGGGAAAAAAATTGCCAGCTGTTCCTCAGACAAAGGACTAATATCTAGAATATATAAATAACAAAAAATATCAGACCCTCCCAGATTTAAAGACCCAATCCAAAAAAAGAGCATCTGAAATGAATATACACTTCTCATGTGAAGAAGTACAAATGACAAAATGAATATTTGAAAAAAATGTTCAACATCCTTTGTCATTTGAGAGATACAAATTAAAACAATGCTGAGATTCCGTCTCACTCCAGAAAGAATTGCTATTATCAAGAAATCAATAACAAATGCTGGCCGGCCTGTGGGGAAAAAGGAACACTTCTCCACTGTTGGTGGGAGTGCAGACTGGTAAAACCACTGTGGAAATCAGTATGGAGGTTGCTTGGAAAACCAAAGCTAGAGATTCCATTTGACTCAGTTATTCCTCTTCTTGGTATCTTCCTGAAAGAATTAAAAGCATCACACCACAGTGATATATGCACATCCATGTTTATAGCAGCGTAGTTTGAAATAGCTAAATCTTGGAAATAGCCCAAATGCCAATCAACCAATGAATGGATAAAGAAGATGTAGTTTTCTTATACAATGGAGTACTACTCTGCCATAAAGAAGGATAAGCTTGAGACATTTCTAGCTAAATGGATGAACCTTGAGACCATACTGTTACATAAAATAAATCAGACACACATATTTAAATACCACATTGTTTCTCTAGTGTGAGAAACCAGAAGTGCAAATGAGGGCCAAAATGTATAATAGATACAGGGAATTGGAAAGAAAATGTTCAAATGGGAAGGGGAACTGGGGAGGGGAAGGGAGAAATGACAGAAAGGACAAAAAAAAGAGATTAGAAGGAAAAAATGGAAAAAGCTTCTGTAAATAAGGAGGGAAAGGGGCTGGGGATTTAGCTCAGCAGCACAGCGCCTGCCTGGCAAGTGCAAGGTCATGAGTTCAATTCCTGGTACCGGAAAAAAGCCAAAAATAAATAAATAAATAAATAAATAAATAAGGAGGGAAAGATGGGAGGGGAATGGGAGAAAAAGAAGGAGCAAGATAGAGGACATGTACAGTAGAAATTCCCTATGATAAATATTATCATTATGTATATCTAAAATGTACCAACCATTTGGGCATGGTGGCACATGCCTATAATCCCAGCACTCGGGAGGCTAAGGCAAGAGGATCACTATGAGTTCAAGGCCAGCCTTGGGTAAAATGACTTCTAGGACAGCCTGAACTGCATAGCAAGACCCTGTCTCAAAATAAATAAATAAATGAAATTTACCAAGAAAAATTTTTTTTTTTAGATTTTGGCTTCTGGGAAAAAAATAATATTTCAAAATCAAATTAATGTACACAGAAAAAGGAAATAAAATCATTGCATTCATAAAATTTAAAAAAAAAAGAATATACAGAAAAGAAAATGAGAAGGGAAATAAATATGCCCCACTGCAAAACAAATCAATAAAATACAAAGGAAAATAGTAATGCCGGGAATGAGAGGGGAAAAGTACAAGACACAGAGAAACACAGAGTAAGTGACACAAGGAGTCCCTCCTTACCTTTAATTTTCAGTGACAGCGAGCTGACTAACATAGGACCTATACAACAGTCATCAACAGCACCTTCCCAGCTAAAACAAAGCGGTGAATCTGATAGAATCTTTCACATTTTGTTCCTTTACCTGTTAGGATTATTACAGGGGATCCAATTCACTTGAGGGTCTGGGATATCCTCCAAGTACGGGTAGATCGATTTCCTGGTGAAACTGACACCATAAATACCATCTTCTGGAGTCACGATAATATGCGCACCCTGTCAAAAGCACAGCTAATAAAAACTTTTCTCAAATAGACAAAAAATCAAAGGAGCTGGGTGCTGTGAGACGAACTTGGAGGCTAACGGTCCTAACCATCGGTTTTCTGTATTTTTAGAGCATACTGTCTTTTCCCAAGCACTTTAAATGTCTAACCCTACTGTTTTAGTTTCTATAGGACTCTCATTCTTTCCTAGACATGAGCAGTTCTGCAGGACACTTGTGGCTCTGGCAGCCTCTGCAATCATTAACACTATGCCCAGCTCATTAGCACGTCTCTTCCCTCCTTGAACTTTGACCAGTTTGTGTGCCTGGCTGTGTCAGGATTGATTTGTAACTTAAACGCTGTTTACTTGCTTGTCTCCTCCAGCTTCTCCACACTCTACCCTGAAAACACGAGTCCTGCTCCTCACGAGGAGGGGTGTCTCCTGGGTTGCCTGACCTATAGGAACCTAGCAGTACTTCCTGAACTCATCTGACACCTCTGGATTGGTGACTCCCCTTGAAAGCTGCTGTGTCCCTTAAGTTGGACATAGCATGAAAAAGAAGCTCAGAAGTCCTGGTGACCTTTTAAATTTTAATCTGTATGACAATGTACTGTATATTCATCAGTTGTGGTGGTGCACACGTGTAATTCCAGCTACTGAGGAGGCTGAGGCAGGAGGATTGCAATTTAGATGAGACCTTCTCACAAAATAAAATTTTAAAAAGGGCTATGACAGAGCTCAATGCTTGCTGGGTTCAATTCTTAAAGCCTCAGTACTGTAAATACATACATGCATACCTCCGAGTCTTGTCACGCTTTCTACATCCCTGTCGTATATCTGATCTGCAACTGTTACTCACACAGCTGTTTAACTGTTCAAACCACACGCGTATACTGTATGACTGGCTTTACACTTAATCTTTCAACTAAGGACTTAACATAAATTAACATATATATCCTTTTATCTTGTAATTAGAATCAAATATGAAGTATATAATACACATTAGTAAGCAATTTACAACTTTGGTGTAATAGTGCTCAACTTGTAAATGTACCTGCAAACCTACAAACTCTTAAGAGGCCAAGAGTACACCGAGCCCCTGAAACCCCAAGCACAGCCCCGGGCTCCTGTCCCACTGCTGCTCCGCCCCCGCAGCAATGCCGCATGGACAGCAAACTGCTCGAGCTCTGCTGCTTCTCGGTGATGACCAGGGCATCCTTATCTTAACCCGGTTCTCACTGTTAGGGCAGCAGGCGGTGTTCTTGCTCTGTGTGAGTAGAAAGTTGGATTCCAGCTGTCACCCCTGATCTCAGCTGTCCTGATACACACGCCATCCCAAAGGGTGACCGACCCTGACGAGGAGCCTGTGCCTCGGTCCCCAGCTTTCCCACAGAACTTAGCACTGGAGAAGTAGGAGCGACAGTACCTGCTTGGCTGCTGATGTGATTGCTCCTTCGAGAAGGTCCAGGTTGCGATTCATTAACGCCAGCGCCTCTTCGGGAGACACGGGGTGGAGGGTGACACTCGGCAGTATCACTGCATGTTCATAAACGGCTGCGGTGAAAGTATCCAGGGAGTTGACTTTCAAGACGCAGAAAACTGAAAAGGCTGCAGAAACCAGCAACTGAGTAGGAATCATGCTGAAATCCTAAGACAAGGCTAAAAGCCAGGACACGTCTTGCTATTTATACGAAGAAAGTAGAGTGAGTCACATGACGCCCAGAACTTAGTATCTTAAAGATAAACTACAAAAGCTAATCTTCAGCTGGGCATGGTGGCACACACCTCTGATCCCCGGACTCAGGAGGCTGAGACAGGAGGATCATGATAAGTTCCAGTCAAGCCTGGGCTACACAGTGAGTTCAAGGCCAGCCTGAACTACATAGCAAGAAAAAACAAAATCAAAACAAGCTAATCTTCAGAAAATTTTATGTCTTCATACTATTTGGAGACAACAAAAGACCCTCTTTTCTTGCAAAAATGATCTGGGCGTAGAATTCAGGAAGTGTGGGCGTGTTCGCTCTGGAGGGCTGCCTAGCAACCTTCCAGGAACTGGGTGGCCTAAACAACAAAAATGTGTTTCCCTGGAGGGAAGAAACTGGAAGGGCTGCCAGCATGGTTGTTTCCCCTTTAAAGTGTGAGAGAAGGAGCCGTCTGGGCCTGTCTCCTGGGTTCACAGATGGCTACCCTCCTCTTTTTCGTCAGGTGGCATTTTCCCTCTTGTATGTTTGTGTCCAAATTCCCCCTCTTTATCAAGAAGTCAGTCATTAGGTTTAGTAACCATCAACTCCAGTATGACCTCGTCTTAACTAGTGAGATCTCAAACAACCCTGTTTCCGAGGGCTGTCTTCACATTCTGAGGCACTAGACATCACATGTGAACTTTGTAACTCCTGTATTTTAGGTTTTCAACATAGTACATGTGATTTTATTATAGGCAGCTAAGTTAGATAGAAATAAATATGTACTCAGAGAGGGACTGGGTCCTCAAAGAAGTCAGCAGGAAAAAATAAAGACATCAGAATTGTGGCTGGAGACATCTGAAGAAGGCCAGGCCTCAAAAGAGTGATGCAGCCCAGGTGTGGTGGCACACACCTATAATCCCAGCACTTAAGAGGCTGAGGCAGGAGGGTCGCTGCAAGTTTGAGACCAGTTGGGGCTACAAAGTGAGTTCAAGGCCAGCCTGAACTGCATAGTGAAACCTTGTCTCAAAAAGACAAAAAAAAATTAAGATAATCATGCAATGACAAGGCCTACATGCCTCTCTAAGGGATAAACTATACTTCGAGATAACATTGTAACTAACACCACTTAGTCCAGTAGATCCAGAAAGGCATCAGTCACCCAAATGGGTGACCAGAACATCTGAACCCATCCCTTCCCCAAAATGCCTTTGATTTTCTATGCACCCTTGCTGTGTGTCTTCCTTCCCTATTGGGTCAATATTAGCTAAAGCAGCCATACTTATAATCCTATAGGTTGATTGTAGTTTGACCCACATTGGACCCACACTGTGACATGGCTGTATAAATTACCCCTGGCCAAGGGCCTCGGTGGCCACCCCATTCGGGACCCCTCCTCAAAATCCAAGAGCTATTCTTCTCTCCTTACAGTCAAACTCTCCTAACTTCATCCTTTGGTTCGTGGTTTCCTTCCTCCATGTTGTAGAACCATGAACTAAGCGCATTTGACATCCAGTATGGTGGGAATTATATTTCTCTTGTATCAGTATGAAGTCACAGGAGCTGTCATTGTCAGAACAGCAGACAGGCAAAACCAAGTATGGAAGCTCACAGGAGCAGAGTGTGCTGCTGAAACCAGGACTCCAGTAAGGCTCGCCTGACCTGTGCTTCATGAATTGCTGGAGGCTCCGTGTGGACCATCTGGAGGCTTAAAACTCAGTCAGGGCGCCACACCCCTCACACTCCCTCTCGCTTTGCCACCAACGACTCAGGGCAATGGACTCAATTTGGTAAAAATTCCCTTGTGTTTCTTGTGGGCGAGGAGCAAGTGAGCTCATCTTTTCTTTTTTAACTTTATTTTTGCTTTTGTTTTGTTCTTTGAGGCTGAGTCTCACTTTGTAGTTCAGGCTGGCCTTGAACTCACAGTAATCCTCCTGCCTCAGCTTCCTGAGTGCTGGGATTACAGTCATGTGCCAACACGCCCAGCTGAGGTCATTTTAAATTGTACCCAAAGCAGAGCTTGCCCTTAAGGGAAGGCATTTCTACCTGACTTTATTCCACAGGAGCGAGAAAAAGTTCAATGCCAACACCTCTAACTTTTGACAGAGGGGAGGGTATCCCAGCTCTAGCTCCCTCAGGACAGAAGAAATTGCATAGAGGCACTCAGGAAAGTGGGTCCTAGGCCTGCACAGGCTCGGTGGAGATTGATACTCTGTCACAAGACCAGGGAGCCCTTCCGTGCCCCACTGTGTTACCACCATATCTAGCTGTGTCTTTGGTGTTCATTAGGCAAAAGCAAGGCTCCGATGAAACATGGCACTGGGCCTACAAACCGGAGGCACCAACAGTCTCTGTGGCAACTCCTGAGCTACACCCCTCATCCCTGATGCCCTGGGTCCGAGACTTCTAGCACCCACGCTGCTCACCGGCAGCCCCTCCGCTCACACGGGGCAGACTGGGGTAAGAGTCTCGAAAGAAACAACTTCAGATGTTGAGAGAAACTTTCACGAGTGCTCCAGGCTAATCCTGCATGGGTGCAGCGGGTGGCCCCCAGAAGAGAAAGGGAGCATCCCTCCACCAAGAGGAGGGACGAGGCACACACTAACCCGACCCACAGGCTGTCTCTGCTGCCGGAGAAGTGACGACGCCAGCCCAGGAGGCACTGTCCACAAGAAGCTCAAGTAAATCTTGGTCCCACTCAAGCAGAGAGAACCTAAAACTAGAGGAAAGGATCCAAGAACAAGGACTGAGGGGGTTTTCGTGCCGCTTCTTGCCCTTCCCCTGGAGGACTCAAGAGCAAGCGTGTGTGCCCTGAGCGTGTGGTGCGAGAGGTGAGGTCGGCTCTGCACTGCTGCCAAGGACACGAGCTGTGGATGAATACCCAGGGGCTCTGACTCACTGTCGGTGCTTTTCTTGGCTTTAATCCAGTTGATAACGTTGTTTGCAGTGTGCGTGTGCATTCTGGCCCTAAGACATAATGAAAATATCTTTAGATTTTTAATATAGTGTCTAAACATGGTCACATGGTCTTTTCCAAAGGACAAAATTACGATTTAATTTCAAGGGCTTCATTGGCTTTATCTTTGAGTCTAGAATTGGGCAAAGATGATTACAGAAAACAAAATAAGCGTGGCAGGGCACTGAGTAGAAAAATATTGTTTCTGTAGACAGAGAAAGGCTGAAGAAACAGAAGAACAATGGGTTGGTCACATCCCAGTTATTGTTTCCTGCAGAACAATGAGAAAATAACTGGTTAACATAGGGTTCTTTCAAGTCCCTTCTTTTGTATACAGATGAGAGAGAGGCTCATTCCGAAGCCGGCTGAAACTGGAAATGTTGGTTGTTATCTCTCCGATCCTGATTTCTTAGGCAGCCAGATAAGCAGAGTAGTTTCAGCTTGTTGATGTGAAAGTTTAGTGTGATGATTGCATTTTGATTTTTAGTTCTGTTGGTTGGGGTCCAGGGCAGGAGCTGATTCCAAAACAATAATCTCCTATAGTTTGGTGAGGTTTTTTTTTTAATTGTGGTACTAAGGACTGAACTCAGGGACCTCACATTGAGCCTTTATTATTCTTAATTTTGAGACGGAGTCTCACTAAGTTGCCCTAGTTGGGCTCAAACTTGTGATCTTGCCTCAGCCTTCCCCAGAATGCTAGGAGTATGGGTATGTACCACCACAACCAGTTTATCGTGTTCAGTTTATTCCATAGCCTGGACTGGCTGTCATGATTTTTTTTTAACTAATCTGTGAGTTTTACTCTGCAGTATCAGAAATACTTGGTTGAAGTTCTCCAAGGAAGTAATGTAGATGAGGAGGATACAGCTGAGAGATTTGAGTCTGGGAAGGCTCCTCGTTTATAAGTTCGTGGTCAATAAAATGAGAAGTGGGGCAAGGAAAGTGGGAGAGGCTAGCAAAGGAAATTTAAAACACAGGTATGAAAAGATAAGGGGTAAAACCACTTCAAGGGGGGTAGTTCAGATGTTCTGTCTTGGAGAAGAACATCTGAGGAAGGACCATAAGATCAGATTCTGAAGAGCGGGCAGAAGTCCGGTAAGGTGAGAGTGCCTGCAGCGAGCGGAGGGGAGGGAACCAAGGCCCGTGTGTGCAACAACCTCCAGATGACTGTCTAGGGGAGAAGAAAGAAGCCTAAGAGGAGCCAGTGTCAGTCAGAAAGCAGGAAGATGCCCTCATGTCTTGCGTGGCAGGACCATCCAGACCACGGTCTGTTACCACCCAAGGACCTGAGGACGCCAGCTCCAAAGGGAGAATCTAAGAGAGATGGGATTGGGGAGACCAAAGGCATTTTCTGCTGCCCAGAAGGTCTCCAGCTTTCAAGCCTGGAAAAAGCCCATGAATGCAGTTATCATACTTCCTGTGGCTACTAGAGATGTCCCTAAACTCAGTGATCCTCAGCCTCCCCACAGCATCCCGGAGAACTCACTTGCTCTCCTGTAAGTCTCTCCCAGGAGTTAATCAGTGACCAACCAGCAGGACTCTGAGAGCCAGGGAAACTGGGCCAAAGGTTGCTAGGGGAAAGGTGATGGGATCCCTGCCTAAGCAAGCTCCCGCAAGCACAGGTTGCAACTAATGCCTGTGCCTTGCATGGGGCTTAACCGAAATTGGACAGAATTTAAGATGGAATAAATTCGGAAGGAAACCATGTGATCTGAAGAAAGTTATTTATTTCTTTATTATTTCCATCCTAATTTCCACACTAATTGACTTATGAGTCAAGTAGATTATGATAAAAAGATAATGGAACAATTTTAATTAGTTACAAAGTTGTTCGTGATTATTTGAAAAGATGCCTTCATTCACAAATTTCTGTATATCACTCAACTTCAATCAAATACTTCCTGTATGTTCAAAGTTCGCCCTGTGCATTCACAAGCAATGTGAAGTAGCCAGGATTCACCAGACCAAGAGAATGGACAGGATATATATTTATGTACCATGTTTATTATAAGTTACCGAGTCACCCAGCGACAGGATGTATATTTATGTAACAAGTTTAATGTAAGGTACTGAATCACCTAGCCATGGAGGCTGAGGAGTCCTATGAGCTGCGCTGTATCTGTGAGCTGGAGCCCCAGGAAAGCCAGCAGTAGAGTGTGAAGAGCTGACAGTTGAGCTCAGGGTGTCAGGCCAATCCAGATCTGACGGCCCACACATCAGGCGGAGAAGACCCAAGTCCCAGCTCAAACAGGCAGAAAATGAACACATCCTTCCCCTGCCTCTTTTGTGCTACAGGCCATTGAGGGACTGGATGATGCCTGCCCGTACTGGGGAGGCATCACTAAGTCCAGCAGTTCTAATGCCCTCAAGGTCACAAGCAGAAATAACCCCCGACCAGCTAGCCGGGCACCCGCGGCTAGGCAATTAACATGCAAATTAACCATCCCCCTATGGAAGTGACATTTGCATACATCAGAGCAATTATTGCAAAGGAGTTTTCTAGGTTCTCCTCACATTTCAATGCATGTTCTACTCTACGTATCCATACTTACACACACTTACACAGCCGCGAGGTGAACGCAGCACAGACAGTTGAGCTACACCAAATATGCACACAGCCTTTTTAATTTACCTTGTTAATTTTACAAAATTTTTGCTAGAATATGTTTGCAATGCATAATAATTACATTCAACTTAGAGAATTAGTACATGGACATATGGGATCTTAATCATCTTTATTTCCCCCTCTCCTCTCTGCCCTCTGGTCCCACCCCATTCTCAGATCCCTTCCCATCAGTTGCTGATAACATAATACCATAGGCAGGGTACGTTATAAAGAAAAAGGAAAGGTTTATTTGGGTCCGTGGTTCTAGTCTAAGGTCCAGGGCCCTCATGTGACAATGGTTGGCAGAGAGTATCACAAAGTGACAGGAAAAATCGTATTCAAGCCACAGAACAGTCCTTGCTTTTTAAATCTGAAGTTTATTTGTTGTTACACTAAGTTTCTGGCATCTCTTCTAGGCAGACACTGAGGGCCCTCTTTCTCCTTTCTCTAACTCTCCCTCCCCTTCCCTGTCTCCAGCACCCCACCCTCTGCTTTGCCAGGCTAAACCCCAACAGGCTCTGGTGTAGGACATCATTGTAATTTCCCAGGTCCCTGGCCTAAGCGTTGAGGGTCCTTCTCAAACACTCTGCCATATAGCGCCATAACTAAGACAGGCAGAGGGGTGCCGCTCCGGCTCCTGAGGCACCCATCCTTTGAAACCTAATCAAAGCAAGCAAAGGGTTAACTCCAAGACAAAGCTTCATTTCCAGCCCAGAGGCCTCATCTGGCAAGATTACTATTAAAGCACCCAGGACTTGGGACCCGAAGACCGGGGTTCATGCTTTGGGTCTAATAATAAAGGAGTTTTGGTAACAGAGCATCAAATAACTTACTTTCAGAGATGGTCAAATAATATAATGTATTAAACAGTGTCTTTTAAGTTGGGCACAATGGTACATGCCTGTAATCTGAGCTTTCTAGAAGGCTGAGGCAGGAGGACCATGATTTTGAGCCCAGCCTGAGCAAATTAGTGAGATCCTTTCTCAAAATAAAGCATAAAACATGAGCTGGGGGTGATGCTCACTGTAAAGATCCTGGGTTCAAGCCCCAACACCACCAAAAAAAAAAAACAAAAACAAAAAACAACTTTGAACTAATGGAATACTTCACAAATTGTTAATTTTTATTATTCTCATTGTAACAACTTTGGAAATAACCCACCCATAAATTTGAGAATGAACTCTTTCATGTATCATAATTAACTTGCACCTCCTACACCATGCAACAGAACAGAACAGTAGTTAGCTGCCATGGACAGCAACCACTATCTTCATTCTAATTTCTCTGTGGCTACAGTGTTGCCTTGGATCTCATTTGCATCACATTTACCTGGAAAAGGGAATCCTGACTTCTCCATCACAGCCTAAGGACTATCTAAAACTACAGATTGTGTTTCATGTCACTGTTTCCACAGATCTGTAAAGTGTCTTTCATAGACTATGAATAATAACATTTCAGCAGAGCCCCATTATTTGGAAGATTTTCTAACCCATCCGCTCTAAGAAATTTATCATTTTGAAAACCTCCTACCTCATAGTGGCTTTCGGGGGCCAGCTGGCTCCCACTCAGGACGATCTGTGGGAAGACGTAGCTTGTTCCAAATGAGCCACTGAGGGAGAATTCTTCAAACCTGGTGAAAGCTGAGCCCACAGGCTCCCCGCAGGTCCTCAGATCAGTGGTCTGGCATTTCAGCAGCGTGCATATCTATGCAGAAAAAGGAAAGAGAAGCAGTCAGAAGAGTGGAAATATTTCTCAGCTAAACAGCACAATTTCAAAGACTAGGAGAATAGGTAAGCTGCCTCTCAAGCAGTGCTTTTTTAAAGTACATTCACAACTTATTCATAAATCCTCACTCCAATTTAGTGGGTAAGGATTTTTCTCCTCCTCCTTTTCCTTTTTCTTTTAATGAAGCCAAACACAACAGACTAGAATTTTAAAAGTCAGAGTGTATTACAGGTTAATTTTAGCTATTACTAGTACTGAGGCAGAAATCCGGACCTAACTGCAGCCATTTTGTTCAATAAAGCTGCAGCCATTCAGTTCTCTGCCACTGAACTGAGCTGAATCATAGGATTTGTCATCAAGTTAAAATTTCTGTGAATGGGCTGAAAAAAACTTTGCTACACACAACTGTGCTCACCACAAGATACCCACAGTGCCATGGCTTTCAGCTAAAGCTTATCTCCTTCTTGTAACTTCTATTTGCCACCCTATAAAAAAAGATAAGCTCTCTGTAATCAGTGCCTTGGACTTTGGAGATTACTCCTCTGGGGTTCACTAGCATCAATAAAATTTGTTTTTTTCTCCTGAGTTCATGGCTACTATTGACTCAATTTTCCCACAACAATACAAATATAGATTATTTCATAAACTGATTAAATTCAATATCTCTTTTTAAGTCAGTCACACACTCACATGGGTACCCTTGGTCAGAGTTTGACATTGGACCCCAAATCAAGACCGTTTGGAAAACACTACTCTGAAGTCACCTACCTGAGGGAAAAATAGAACCCACAAAAGTTGCAGCTTTTTGAACTTGAACTTGGCCTTCTGAGACCTAACCAATCTGTTTTATGTTTTTAGCTTGCAGCCAAGGAAATTGATTTTGTTTTTGCTAAGAGTGAATAAATTAAAGGTCGGGGCGGTGTTCTAGATGAATAGAACATTAAACAATTAACTGGATCTAGCATAAATTTTAAAGAAAGGCCTTGAAGTCCCAGTGACACTAAAACCACGCTAACACACGCAGACACTTCTACCTGTAAGTAATATTGGCCTTCAACTGTGTGCAGTCCATCAAAGGTGCCCAGGGCAAAGACCTCATCCAGGCGCTTCTCAGACATCTTGTAAGTTAAGTGACAACACAGGTCTTTCTGGCACACTGTGTAATTTCCTGTGTCTCTCTTCAGTTCAGTGAAGGTGAACTCATCAAAATAAATCATCCCTCGAAAATCTGACTGCCAGGAGGGAAATGGCTGGACACTTCTGGCATAAGCACTCCAGTCCACGGCCGCAGGGTAGGTGAGCTCCCAGCGAGGCCGAGACTTCAATTCTGCAAGCATCAGCTGTCCGCTGTTGGTCTCCATGTCGTAGTGATACACCTTGACGGCTTCGGGGGCATAGATTCCACTCCCTACAGGCAACAAAAAGATGCACACTTACTGGTTTCACGTTTTGCCTTCTTCTTTAGGTGGGCGGGAAGGTAGCAAGTGCTTGGTCCTGCTATCCGAGTGCCCTACCACTGAGCAACCATCCCCGCCCCACCCCACCAGCCTTCACATCTTTTATGGTGACAACTGAATGGAAAAGTCCCTATTAAATGAAGTTATTAAAGCATTTCCAAAGTAGTTAAGGAGACAGCTGCTACCTTGGCCTAAGTTCTAATTTGACTCTGTCCACCCTAAGGCCCTGCTGTCACTGAAGGTGGAGGGACCTTTTTTCTTCCTAGGCTTTGCTCTTTCTAAGCCAACTGAATAAGAAAGTAGGAAATCCTCCCAAATGGGAAGAATAATTTCAGCTATCTACTGATTATTTATTTGCATTTGGGATTTTTTATTTACATCAATGAATAGCAAAGCAGTCCAGAGGGTAGTGTGAATTACCTTGAACATGCATACTGTAAAGGGTAAATGCTAAATGAAGCCTAAAATGATTTTTTTTCTCTCAACAAGATGACTTATTTCAATATGGCTAGTAATAGAGGCTGGGATGTTTTGTAGAGCTGGCTTTGAATTTTCATGGGCTTGATTTCTCCTTAATTCAAATCTGTCTTCATGTAAAATTAACATCATCCCTCCTTTACTCACAAGAATAAAGCTCCTTTTCCAACGGAATTAATAAAATTAAAATGCAATATGTATACGTACCAATTCCCCTAGATGAATTTAATTATTTGTATCATACTTACATACCCAAAAAACAATAAAATTTCTTAAGCAGAAACACAGGCTAGTATTCATTTTGTGGTATTAGAGTTAGTAAGTGAAACATTAAAAAAAAGTGTGATTTGAAAACTAATGAAAAACACCCAAGACTGTCACTGTCACTGGGCACATGAGTGTCACTCACCTGTCATGTGCATGCTGGTGTTGTGAGTGTTTGCAGCAAGCATGTTGACCCGCATGGCCCTGGCCCATGCTGAATGGAAGGGGACAGCCGAGAGCAAGGGCAGCGTGTTGTACCATGCTGTGGGGTACAGAACACTGTCAACTTGGAACTTGTCCACCACCACCACCGCCGGGTTGTGAGAAAAAATGTCAAAGCAAGTAAAGACACCAAACTTTCCAAAGGGGGTGTCAAAAGTCACAAATTCTGAATCCTTGGGGAAATCAAATTGAATCTCTGATGCAAAAAGATTGTACTGTCAACAAAAAACAAAGAAGGAAGAAATTAGTAAAAGAGAAAATTACCAGTGCATATGGTCAATAAGCACATTATCTCTCCTGGCGTGAATGTTGATGTGCGTCCCCAGAACTGTTACACATACACTGGCACCAGGCGTGGCCACCTTACGACTGCTGTCTACTCATCTTACCATGACTTTAATCCTAAAATCTTTTCTTCCCAACCAACAAGTCACACCTACAATATCGATGATGTGAGTGTTTTTATCTTAAAAAATCACAGGATAAAATCTTAAAATTTTCAGTGTTTCCACTGTCCTCTACATATCACCAGCACTGCATGTATGAAGTCCAACTCATGAAAAAGAAGAAACTAACTCTATATAAATGAAGTGATGCATATTTACAATCAATTTATGCACTGCAATAACCCTCTTATCCACTAGTAAGCTATTAGTAATTTTATTACTTTGACCTGATCGCTGTTCCTGAAGTCCGCCTGACCCTGGGCTCAGGAGCATGGCACATGCTCACTTCAGGCTTTTCTTTGGCTCCATGTGTGTATAGGCACCAGACAGCATCGCTATCCAACCCCTGCTGTTCACTGAGGATTTCCTGTTCGTCCACCTCCCTCTCACTAGGAGTACATCCTGTGTGCTTAGGTACATGGCTCAGGGAGGGCATGCGACCCAACCGGAATCAGGACATGATGTGGCCTTTGCAATATTGCTATGAGAGATAAAATAAATTCCTCTTGTGCTTTTTCTTCATAAAGTTATGAACCCTGTTACTGCATGCATGTGCTTCTACCATGGGAGTTCCCTGGGAAAAAGCTGTCGGCAAGTACTCAGGGCATTCGGGAGATGGACACTGTGGCTTGACCCTCTGAGGAATAGATTTCACCCTGCCCTTTCGATGATACACATTTTCCAGGTACACAAGGAAGAAAATTCTCATCTTTTTAGACCTGTCTTTTCTCTGACATACATTCTCCAAGTATATAAGGAAAAAAGTCCCATCTTTCAATTAAAAAGCCAGTTTCTATTGAAATTATGTTCCATTGCAATCAAAGAAGTCTTAATGAAATAAACGGTAGCTTAGTATGAATTATTGTCCATTTGGGGGAGGGAACTCTGATACTGTGGAAAAAAGGGAGAATTTTCCATCTTTCTCAGAGAATATAAAAATCGTTGTGAGGCTGTTATCATATCTGCCCTATACTATTTGATGACTCCAACTCAGAATGCTTATTTGGAATTAGAATAAATTAAATCTCATTTTCAATTCTAATTAGAAATCAGTTTGAGATGTATTCACAGCCTTACCTCCCCAGCATTCAACAAACAAGCACACACACGATCACAAACAAAAGAAGTCAAGTGTAGCAGAGGCAGAAGTAGTTCTCACCTTATGGTAGCGGGCCACCAGCCTACCCTCAGTCGAATACCACGTTGGTGTTGTACTGGAAACGGCCATCGGGGGGACACTGAGGGTCACTGGCATTGCATGGCTTCTTGTCCCCAATATTTGCCACGAGGTAGATAGAGTTGTCTTTAGCCAGGCAGCTCAGTCTCTCTTGCACTGGGGTGTTGCCAAACCTATTCAATAGATATCGCCAGAAGACTATGCGTTAGTGATTTCCAAAATGGCAGAGTGACACTTTATTTCCTGATTTCCTGTAACACTCGAGGGACCAGAATCAAAAGAACAGATTTAAAATATCAAAGGCAATATTGTCTTCATTTTCATGACACTGAGCCTTTTTTAATGTGCCGGGCTTCCGGTTGCAGGGCAAGAGTGATACACAGAAAAAATGAAGAGAGGACGAGGAGGAGGAGAAGGAGGAATGCTTTCTTACAGCATTAGGGACGGGAGACAAGGCCTGCACAGTGAACTCTATCCTTAGCCTTCCTTTCATTTTTTTTGTTTTTGTTTTGAGATATAGTCTTGCTGAGTTGCTATATTTTCCAGACTGGGCTCAAACTTGCAGTCCTCCTGCCTCAGAGTGCTAGGATTACAGCATGCACACCCGGCTAGCACTTTCTTATGGAGTGCTCCCAGCAAACTCAATGAAGGGCTTGAAATTTAGCAGATTCTTCTGCGAGAAAGACTTCAGTTTTCATCCAAGCCATACGCCCACACACCTGCTGATAAGTGGTGCTGTGGGAAACACAGATGCTGAGAGGCCGGGCAGCAGGGGTCCCGTGGAGAGCACCTTGTATGGAGAACAACTGCAGCACTGAGCAGAGAAAATGTCAGCGAACACTCCACACTGCTGGCTTGGTCTTCTCATCCCTTGCGTGCAATGTGCAGATTTCTTTCTTACTCTAAAGGGTCTCCATGAGAAATCCTGAGAAAAATACGGACCGTGAAACTGCTTTTTAGCATAATGCTAAACCGTATCCACCAGAAATAAGAAGGGAATATGGTGCAATAACAGCTGGCTTCAAATATTCTGAAGGGCTCTCATGTGAGAGATGTGGGCCACGTACACGAATGCACTACACAAGGCAGAGCAAAGGCCAAAGGAAGCTAGAAGGAGGTCGATTTCAGCAGAAAACAGGATAGCCAATGTTTAGCAGCCAAATCCCTCTTAGTGAATAAGTGGATTCTCTACTTACTGAACATGCCAGCATAATATAGTCCATCTATAGGCCCTCAGTCCATTCAGTTGTCAAGGCTTAATGCAAACTGCTGTGTTTTAATTGCAGCTACTCTAGTTACAAGTTAGGAGGACATATGCTTCCGTTCATTCTCATAGTTAAAACGCAAGTAGTCATAGCTGCTATGACTAGGGATTAACCCAACATACATGACAGATACAGTTCCTGGGACAAAGTAAGTAAGTGCTCAATAAATAATGGCTGCTCAGTGGACAACCTACACCAGTGATGGCTTTATTGCTTTTCAAAGTTAGTTGAGATCCTTTCATGACCCCTCTGTGACTGATGGTGAATTAATCTTTGAATAAAATGAAATATTAAAATAGTCCATTCCTTTAGATTTTTTTATCTTCAGGATAAACAAGGAAATATAATCAATTTTCATGAAGATGTTTAACAAGCCTGCCATGTAGCTTGTGTAATTTTATTTTCTTGGTTAAATATTAGTTTCTTATGTTAAAAAAAAAAAAAGTCAAGGAAATATTTGACACATCGGCATTTGAAGCAGTAGGGTTTAAATACACAGAGATGACTATATAGCCCTCTACGATACCTTTCAGAGATAAAAATAAATAGGGAAGCAATAGGGATTTCATTTTCAGTACTGTCGTTACAGTTAATAACTGGATTTCTCCTTTTTCTGACACAGAGCTAAAAGTCTGCCGTTTGGATAGGTGTCTACCAGACTCGATAATGTTAAAGTTTTAGCTGTGATTTGCCTTCTCAACCTAACAGAATTCATCTAAGGCTAATTATAGTTTATGAACATCTTTTCCTTAGGAAAGTCAGTTTTTTTTGGTCTAGTCTAGTCAAATGGAACTTATTTTAATATTTACCTTGTGAATTATGGGAAATAATGATTCTTTCTGTTCTAGAAAAGCCTCATAAGTGTTGAGTCATACCAACATGATCTTTCTGTAAACACATACCATGCAACACTTAAACACCATTTTCCCAAAGGTGGAATATCCCAGGGTGAGACTTGACTCACATAGCAGGACTTACTATTATATCAGTGAACTTGACTCTGCCCGATTTCATGTGGTCAAAACTATTAAGGAAGTTCCTCTTTTGTGCAATAGTTGCAACCCCGGATAGATGCATGTAAATGTAAAGTTACTAAGTTAATTACTTGTTAAAGTTTGCTATTCAAAGGAACTAAGTATAAATTATTTTTAGAAGTAAATTAGCTAAAATAACCTATGTTGTAATCTTATGCTATACGTATTTCCTTCATGAAAATTTTTGTAAGCCACAACTATTAATAATTACTAAAATCTAAAGAGAAGAATGCAGAAAAATCAGACTGAGTTCTTTCTGTTAAAAGTAAATGACAGTGGGCTGGGGATTTAGCTCAGCGGCACAGTGCTTGCCTGGCAAGCACAAGGTCATGAGTTTGATTCCCAGTACCAGAGAGAAAAAAATAAAAAATAAAAAAAATAAAGACAAACGAATAAGATCTCATAAAAAAAATAAATGACAGTGACAGTGCAGTATACTGGTTCCATGTCTATGACTTCATTTGACAGTCTTGTCTACTCCACGGGAAAGTAGAGAAGAAACTTTACCCACCCCTGTTTTACAGGTGAAGAAAGGAACAAAAATGCCAGGCATCTAGGTTATATCTTCTACCTCACTCTCTAGGGGGGACTAACATGTGGTCTCACAAATGGTGTTTCCTGTTTCAACTCCCAAGCAATTTCCATTCACCTTATTGATTACATTGCAACTCATGGTGATAGCAAAGGAAGCATAGGCTCTTTCATGTTTTTCCCATTTGTATAAATGAGGTGGGTGTTCATGGATGAACCCATCCTCTCTACTTGAGAATAGAGATCCTAGATGTTACAACCCAATTAAACACACATATTATAAAAACTGTGGGTATCTTCACACTATTCTTTAAATAAAACTCCAACAAATAACTAATGATCATTATCTTAAGTTAGTTCCAAGCAAGAGATATGCCAGATGGTATACCTTGTGAAACATTAGAAGCGTCAAAATGTGTTGCCCAGGACTGGCTCTTTGTCAGAAAAATTACTAAGCAAAGAGTGAACTGGGTGTTAGCATTCTCCACTGTCACAACTTTTTGTTCAAAAATCGAAGGGTAATAACATGGATTTACCTCTTGGGCTCTCTACAGGGAATCCAATTCACTTCCGGGGCTGGTACATATTCCAGATAGGGATAAATGCTCTCCCTGGTGAAGACCCAACCATAGATCCCATCTTCTGGGGTCACAATGATCTGTGCACCCTGGTCAAAACAAGGGGGACAGAAGAGTTTCTCATAAATTCCAAATACCCACCCTCTTACCAAGCGGTAAATCTCCTTCACAATATCCCAGGCAGGACAGAAAGGACCATACCTGCTTGGCTGCAAGCCTGACTGCTTCTTCCAAAATGTCTATGTTCTTGTTCATCAGGAGCAAAGCTTCTTCATTTGAAACAGGTTTTTCTGTTCTGTTTGGCAATATGACGGCATGCTCGTACACGGCGGCAATAAACGTGTCCAGCGCCCTGACGTTCAAGATGAAGAGGGCAAAAATCAGTATACCTTTTGGAAAATATAATGTAATCATACCTAAAAGGTAATGATCTCTTCAAGACAAGTGCGGATTCTTATAATTTGTATCCGTAGGAAAGCAGGTAGGTTAAATCTCTCTGCCGGGTAACCAGCTACTTTTATTTTCTCATGAATGGATTATGTAACACAGTGCCAAGAAAGGATATTGCACAAGAAAGCTGACAACCAGAAGTACACAACTGGACTGAGTCAAGAGTGCAGGGCTGTGCTGACACTGTTGAGTCAGCCCTCTTCTAAAAGTGGAACTATTGCACCAAGCAAAAGGGTCCCCCTCTGTCCAAAACTCACCGGCAGGTGAACTCTTACCTTTTAATATAATATATCTTCTTGGTAAACCAGTATTTCCATAATAGGGCCATCGTACCAGAAATTTGTTGAGAATTTATTTATTTGACTGTAATAGATGCAAAACACAGAGTTTAAGCTAAGACCCACTTTTAACTGAGTTCACAAAATGGCAAGGGATAACAGATACACACGTGCTAAACACGAGCTCCGTTTTTGCATCATTAGAGGCTATCAGGAAAAACAACGGCTCCTGATTTCTATTGAAGAGGCTGCCTACTAGTCTGAAATATCAGAATGTTGAGCTAAAAATGTCATAAAACACATTATAGCACTGTCACTGGTGCCAAGCGCCCTCTGGATCGAGTCTCTAAGACCCCAGGACCTGGCTAAGGCTGAAAAGTCCTGGATCCAGTGTCACACAAGGTCTTTATCTCATAGGATTTAATTGTATTTAAATATTTTATTATTGCATTACCCCACATTTCATTTTCAGGAGGGTTTTTTTGTCTTTAAATAAGCTAAACTTTCTTAAATATTAGGCATGGATGGGTAACATCCTCATTTTCTCTATTTAACTTGAATTTCTTACCATCTGCCTCTCTGTTCATGCCCTGCCTACAATTCATCATACAGTTTCAAACATCATCTTCTATTCTAATTTATTACACTAAACCAGCTGATGGGGGCTGGGGATTTAGCTCAGCGGCAAAAGCGCCTGCTTGGCAGGCGCAAGGTCGTGAGTTCGGTTCCTGGTACCGGAGAAAAACCAAAAACAAACAAATAAACCAGCTGATGATTTGTAGTTGATCTCCCTCTCTACCATAGTGGAGAAAACTACTCATTTCTGCACATAATCACCAGAAAATTTCCCTCCAAAATGCAACTCCTATTTTGTCACTTAGACTTCGAAATAGTCAGTAGCTCCTGTTACTTGAAATATTAATTCCCCAGCTGTGTGTTTTAAGACACAATAGGAGAGCTTGGAAGTTTATAATCCACAGAAGTTTATCTCTCACCGTTCTGGAGGCTGAGGTGTCAGATAGTAAAGTGCTGGCAGATTCAGTTTTTGGTGAGGGACTGCATCCTGGTTCATAGACCGCCATCTTCTTGCTGTGTCCCCTCTTGGTGGAAGGAATAAGGGACATTGTGGGGATCTCTTTTACAAAAGTGTTAATGTCATTCATGAAGGCTCCCTTTTCCTGACCTAATCACCTCCCAATGGCCCTACCTCATATCAGTTTCAAGTATAGTTTTCAGCTCAAGCATTTAAACCAGCATGAGCATTCAGTCCATTTCATGCTACATGCTCCATGTTGGTAAGCAAATTGCCATTGCAAGATATACAGAGAAATAGTAATAGTTGATAGTTACAACTTAGGTGTCGTGTTTATTAGAAAAATACATGACTTGTGCAAATTATAGATGATAGAGGTCAGGATGATGCAATATAAAAGATATCCGTCAATCTCTAAGAAAATGACAAGGAAATAATAAATGATGCATAGTTAATGCAAATACCATGGAGATAATGAGATAATGACAGGATTAACTGAAATTTGGGAAATGATTTCGAGTTCTTCAACAACCTACATGGGTAGTGCTCTGAATTTATTTCTACTAAAGGGAGACTTAACAAGAAAAAGTCAAGCTTCCCAGACTTCCCCTTCCCAACAGCTGTCGTTCTTTGTTCTGATACAAATAAAAGCAGTAACTTTTGTCTCTGTAAATAAAATTTTATGACTTCCTGTTCCCATAACATCCTGTTATGCCCAAGCAGGGCCACCAAGATACAAAACTGTCACGGCTTGACAATCTGCCTTTGTTCTCTGCCCGCCCACAAGTTCCATGAGAAAGACCAACCCCTTGACAAAATGTGTAAAGACTGGATCCTTTGCTTGGTCTGGCACTCAGCCATTTTGGACACACAAAAGTCTGCTGGGCTGGTGTGCACATGAAATCTCAGAATAACATCTTCCTGTTTCCCGGTGCTCTCGTTAGTCTCCTGCAACACTACAACTTGCTTCTGTACACTCTGTTCCACTGAAATAATTCCTTGTCCAACAAATATTCTATATGCTGCACTATTTAGATGACTGCAGATCCATTTTGTCTGTTATGCTTTGTGTCTGGATGCCCCCTCAAAGCCTCATGTGGTCACAGGGGCTGGCTTTTCAGAGGTACTGAATCTAGAGTTTGTGACTGGTTCATTGTCTAGTGCTGGGATTATGGGTGTTGTGCTACACCCACCCTAGGGCAGGTAGCCTGCAAACAATATAAGAGAGGAAAAGAGGCTCGCTCCTCCCTCTTGCTCTTGTTTCTGATATCTTCCACTGCCATGAACAGTGGCCCCTCTGCCATGTGTTACCCTGCTGATTATGGACTGAAACCTCTACAAACTGTAAGCTAGTTAAACCTTTCCCTTTTTAACTTTGGGTGTTGGGTATTTTGTCTCAGCAATGAAAGAAAAGTAACTAAGACAACTTCCTACAGAGTTCTTCATGGCCATCTGTCTAAGCTCCAAAACCTCACACAGTGCTTGCAAACCCACTTCACCCTAAGTGGTATTTCCAAACTCTTATAGCAAATTTTTTTCTGCTATTGAATGTCTCCGACTTATTGCTATTATCATGACCTTAAATATAAATTTTATACTGATATATAATTATATTCTCAAAGAAAGTAAGGTTCTGAGTCAACTAATATCCATATCCAGAAGAAGGAAACTAGACCTCTATCCCTTGCCATATAATAAGAAATTTTAATGTTTCATTCTAGAACTCCCATGTCCAATAACCACTGAGAGATACACACCGCAGGAGTGGCAAGGCTCTGACCCCTGGAGGGTAACGGCATGTCCTTCTCACTTCTGCACCGTGTGTCCCCGACCCTGAGAACCTGTGGCAGGTACCCAGGACATGAATGAATGCTGGACAAAGGAGTCCACTGTCTGACACTCTGGTTGGTTCCATGTTGCAAAATTTTAGAACTCTCTTTTTGTGTAATTTACTTCCTATATTTTCTGTAGCTTAAAATTGTAACGTCAATCAAATTTCTACAGGACAGACTTTTAGATAATACAGTGTTTTTAATTACTTCCTATCTTTAACTGGTTTTAGCCATATCATCTTTACAAGTTCCTTAGGGGTCAGGGGCTAAATTACAATTCTGTGTTATACTTGTGAAATTTCATAACATCGAAAGCTGTATAATATTCTGCTTTGTTAAACTCAATTTCTTCATCTAGTTTTAGATGGAACCCTCTTGTTTGAATGAGTTGATGTACCATGTAAAGAGTCACTTTCAAGGTTTATTGCTCTTACCCTGTCATTAATATTGGTTCTTTTTCTTGGGATTCATTCAAATGCCCATTTGATCTAGGGAATCTTACAGGTTTTGGAGATTTGTGGGTTTGTTTGCTTGCTTGCTTGTTGGTCTTTTTCATGTATAGTACCGGAATCATGGGTCTTTGCACTGAACTGTGACCCCAGCCCTTGGTTTATTCTTTATTTGAGACAGGATCTCACTAAGTTGTTCAGGCTGGACTCCAACTTGCAACTGTCCTGTTTCAGGTTCTCAGAGTACTGGGATTGCAGTCATACCTGCCACACTTGACTAATCCCTTGGTTCTAATAAATATTTCCAACTTTTCCAGAAGAATACACCTTCTTCCAGGATCCCCAAAGATTTTCTCTGTCTCCTTATCTCTGAAATGGCATCAATCAGGCCTACATTCATCCCAGAACAGAGCAGCTAGGAAGAAGGAAATTGTATAAGGGATATGGATTGCTTTATGATAAGAAGACAATTATCTCCCTATTTCAGCTTGACCTTCTAACTTTCTTGTTCACTTGATTTTCTTAATAATGTCAAAATGAAACATGGGAATTTCCCTTCATTCTGTCCATCCCTTATTGTGTTATTAATATCCCCTAGTCATTGCAGGCTGATCAGGCCCACAATCTACCAAATGAGTAGACAGTGAAGGCTTAAATAAATGAGACAATTGAAATGATTTCAGGGTTCCAGGAGGGTCTAACTCTCTGCAGCTTCGATATTCTCTGGGTTTAGACAAAGGTTTCTATGGGCAACGTGTATTTATTTGGTTTTCAAACAAAGGAGGGGATACTAAGAAAATGCAGGAATCTGTACAGGACTTGGGAAACCCTTTAGGGACTTCTCCAGGTAATATATTGTGTTAATTTAGGAGAACCACGTTATGACCAGGAAGGCTTTCACTGAAGGAGTGAGATGCTTGCAGCTACAGTCTCCTTTTAGTTAATTGGGATTGAAGCCAAAAGTCCTCAGCTGTGATCTTGTCTTGTCCTTTGAAGCCTTGTGGCTTCACCTACCATTACAGGCCTCGGTAGGGACCAGTGACTCACAAGCAAACATGGAAAGCCAATTGATTAATTTAAGTCCTGCTCAGAGCTGCTTCATAGTGGTCTCCATCAATTCCTGGTCTAGGAAATGCACTTTTTAATCTCTTGAAATCAATAGGAGCTAGAAATAAATATTTTGTTTACAAGTGTGATTAGTAACCCTTTTGCTTCCTACATATATAATTAATCAAGCTTGCAGATACAGGTTATATGAAACAAGACTTTGTATATGATCTGAATGATAGGTTGGAATTATTGTGGGATTAGTAAATTTAGAGTCTGAAATGCTGCATGAATATAAATATAATTCTTCTTTTACACCTCTGAGGGAGAAATGGAGGTGTGACACAGTGGTAAAAAGCTTGCTTATTAGGAATGAAATTTTGGGTTCCATACCCAGCACCATCAAAAAAAATGTGTGTGTGT